CCCATCTCCTGTAATTTCACACATAGTTGGCCTTGTTGATCTTTAAAGGGCCCTATTCTCTCCCTTGTTACCCTTTTGTTCATAATGTATTTGTAGAATCCCTTTGGATTCTCTTCAACCCTATTCGCCAAAGCTTTCTCATGACCCTTTCTGCCCTCCTGATTTCCCTCTTAAGGAGACTCCTACTGCCTTCATACTCTCCTAGGGATTGACTCCATCTCTGCTGTTTATACCTGACATATGCTTCCTTCTTATTCTTAACCAAAACCTCAATTTCTCTAGTCATCCAGCATTCCACACACCTACCAACCTCGCCCTTCACCCTAACACTTTGTACATGATTGTACAGTTTTGGATCTCTGTCAGATCTCAGTCCACACAACTCTCACTAGGAGTTCAAATGTTCACTTTACTATATGAAACACAAATACTGACTTGCTCAAAACAATACTGCCTGTTTCAGAACAAAAGAGGTATTTCACTGAGCCAGAACTTTATGTTAAAGTACTTAAGTAAAACAGCAGATTTTGGGTTTCAAAACTAAAGCAATGTTAGACCACCTTTAATGTAGATCATGCTTAGTTATGCTGACTCACACATACATTTAAACACACCTTTTGTTAACGCAATGTCAAAAACCACATCTGTGCTAAAAATTCAATTAAACAGCACATCCAGTTAATATTTAGCCCTCAACTGACATTAGTAAAACAGATAATCAAACCAGTTATTTCTTTGCTGGGTGCTTGCCGTCTACTTATTAGCTGCCATGCATCCTGTATACAACAGCAAATATGCTGCAAAAATACTTCATTGGCTGTGAAGTGTCATGTGTTATCCTGAGGTGCTGAATGGTACTGTATAAATGTCGGCTTTAACAAAGAAAAATGTTGCCACTAATCATTCAGTGATATTTAAAATGGATGTGGGCTTTCTCATACACTAGGCATTGGATCAGTATTTGTTTGTTTATACATTGCCATTGGTCTGAGAGACTTCTCAAGGCTCAATCAGTTAAGTGCATTGCATTGCATTGGCTGATACAGAGATCAGGAAGGTCGAATGATGACAAATAGTCCTAATGTCCCTAATCTCTAAGAAAGGATAAATTAGCCAGAATTGGTGAAAAGAAAGGATAAATTGGCCAGAATTGGTGAAAAGGATCCAACAAAAGCAGGAGTGGGAATGCAAATCAGATGATCAGCTTCCTGTGGAAACTGATCAGTGTCATGAAGGTTCTCCCTTGCCCATTAACTTCCCTGAGTCCTTTAATTCCAATTGCCTCACCTACCACCCGCCTCAATTTCCACCTCTCTTCAGTTCTGATGAAGTGTTAATGGGATGACTAGATGGGAATCTGCACACATTATCAGCAGCACATGGACTACAGCAGTTCAAGAAGGGAACTCACCACCATCCTCTCAAGATCAACTGTAGATGGGTAATAAATGCTGGCCCAGCTAGCAATGCCCATGTCCCATGATGAATAGATATAAAAAAAATCACATCATTACCTAATTTCACCTCATTTTTGTCTAAGTTACTATCTTTCTAGGCAGTGGAGAGAAACTGGACAGGGGATAATTCCCGAAATGAAAGTCTGAGTGGTTACCTGGTGGCGGAGGCTTGTTAGTGTCTTCTCTGAGTTTCCATCTTGGCCAACATTCCCCAATACCTCAGGGTACACTCCATGGGTAGTGACCTTCTGTATTCTTTGTCCACTGAGGCTGGCACAGCCAAGCCTTGGTCTCACACCATCATGGCACATCTCCAACTCACTTATAATACAGCTCACCATTTCATACTGTACTTCAGAGTGCTGATCCTTCTATTGAAATGGTGCTGCTAGATTGCTTTGCGTAAGAGATAGACTCTCCTTATTCATAGGAATGGGGTGCATTGGGTCAGGGCTGTTATCTTTCCCTTGCAGTGCTCACTCTCTTTGTGCTTGATTGGATGCTTAAAACATCTCTGCCTTGCCTTGTGGTTTCCTGCATTGCCACCTCGTTCTGAATGTATAGGCTCACAGAACTTTATTTTGCCTCCTCCTTTTGTTCAGACACAAAGCCAGGCAGTCAGTCATATTTGCCAGCAATGAAGAGTCAAGGGGGTGGATATACTACTGTAAGGCCCCATGTTCTACCTACATCATGTACCAGTGGCAAAAGCTTATGTGGCAAACCCTCTGAATGTGCTTCAACCAAATGACCCTGACTCATATTCTTATAACCTGTAAACAGTTTCAGAGATGCAATAAGAGATATTTAATTTACTCTGCAAAACTGTTCTCATTATACCAGAATGTGGATATCATCATACAGACGACATTGCATACCACAAAAGAATAGTGGCTCAGTGGTTAGCATTGCTGCCTCACAGCGCCAGGGACCTGGGTTTGATCCCACCCTCAGGCAACTGTTTGTGTGGAGTTTGCAAATTCTCCCCGTGTCTGTGTGGGTTTCCTCTGGGTGCTCCAGTTTCCTCTCACAGTCCAAAGATGTGCAGGTTAGGTGGATTGGCCAAGCTAAATTGCCTGTAGTGTCCAGGGGTGTGCAGGCTAGTGGGGTTAGCTATGGGAAAAACAGGGTTACAGAGATAGGGTTGGGGTGTTGGTCTGGGTGGGATGCTCTTTGGAGGGCCAGTTTGGACTTGATGGGCTGAATGGTCTGCTTCCACACTGTAGGGATTCTATGAATCTAATCCACGTGCCGGTAACCCTGAAGGGTTCAAGGAAAACCGATACTGCTCATAGCTGGGGACAAACGATCTCTGCTCTCCACAGAAAGATCCTACCAAAGTGCACCACTTTTCTGCATTGAACCACATCTGCCACCCAGTTGCCCACTGCACCAACTTGTTGCCATCCTTTTGGAGTTCCACACTGTCCTCCTCACAATTTACAATTCTTCTGAGTTGTGTCAACTGGATACGTGGAAATTGTCCACTGTCCACCAAGATCCAGATAATTTATAACAGAAAAATCAAGGGTCTCAATACTGACTCCTCGGGAATTCCACTACAATCCTTCCTCCAGCCTGAAAAATATCCATTGATCATTGTTCTCTGTTTTCTATCATTCAGCCAATTTTGTACCCATATTGCCACTGTCCCTTTTATACCATGTGCGATGATACTCTGACTTTAAGAGGGGTATTTTGTCCTGGTTTTTTTTAAATGGAGAGGTTGAGACAGAGGTATTCAGCAGTCTGCTCAAAGTCAATAAAGTAAACAGCTTGGGAGGCCTTGGGGCTTTTTAAACGTTGGAACAATAGAAGCAGCCTGAATGGGTCAAATCAAGCACCCACAGAACTAAGGTTTTATTTTAGCTTTCAGTAGCAGTTGCTGGAGTCTTGAAGCTGTGATAAAGTTAGGGTTAGGGTAAAACTGTTTTCCCCTCTCTGTCACAGCTAAAAGCTGGGCATTCTCTTTCCGCTGCTAGAATTGCTTGTGAGACAATCTATTTTACTGACTTTGCCGTTGCCAAAGGTGTGATTATGGGATGTTACTGTATTGGAACAGTTAATGAGTAGTTTATTAATTTTGTTAATTATCTTGATAGAGTTACAGTTAAGCCAATTCTTTTCTTTTATTTTGAGTGTATTTTAACTATAGTGCATGAATAAAGTGTGTTTTGCTTTAAGCCTGATAGTTTGACCAATCGAAATGCATTCACAACACCACGCCTGGCATTTGCCTTTAAAACAAAAGTTAGGGTCTAGGCTATATCCTTGACATGTCTTGAAGGGGTTTGGTCTGGTTCATAACACATGACCTACAAGTCTGCTGTGAGCCACTGCATCAAATGTCTTCTGGAAATCCATGAATACGCCATAAGCCTTTCCATTATTTCTTCAAAAAACTCCAACAAGCGAGTTAAACAGTTTCCCCTTTAAAAATCCACCCTGTCCGCACACTGGACATGACATATTATCCCTGCATCTCTCCCACAGATGCTGCCAGACCTGCTGAGCTTCTCCAGCAATTTCTTGTTTTTGTTTCAGATCTTCAGCAACCACATTTTATTCCTCTTCCAAGTCTGAAAAGAAGACATCCTAGGAGAATAGTGAAACACGAGATCGTCCAAATTTGTAATTTACTTGACATTGGGGAGGGGTTGACGAAGTGGTAAATCTAATTGTATAAACAAATGTGTGACAATAATAATCAGAAAGAAAATGTTGTGGGTGAAGTGCTGTATATGGGTCTGTAAGGATAAATACTTGAGTGCAATAAGCATCATTCACTATGATGATGTCATGAGGATCTTGTGAGAACCAGACCTAAAGAGAAGTCCTCTCAACAGCCCTTGTAGTAATGATCCTCTTGTTATCATTTGCAAACGGTTGCAGAGATGCAATAATCTACATCTTGCTTACTGTGCAGAACTGTTCTCAATAGACCAGACGACGGCTACCCTCACACACACTAGACCATGTCAGTCCCTAAAGAACTCACACAGAAAAGACATGGGCGGCAGCTCACACACTCAGGCCATTGATCACTTCATGACATCCTTTCGGTTGAGCACCTCCCCCCAAAGCCCCTCAGGTAGCCAGACTTTACATTGACAATGGGAACATGACTTTTCCCCCAATCTCTTACTCTTTTTACATCTAACAAATAAAAGTGTGCAAAGTAGAGGAAGGAAAGCGTTGTTTTAAAGCCCTGCTGTCTTTTTTTAAAGATGGGGGTAAATTACTTGAAGAATTTTTTAATTGCTGGAAACTAGAGGATAGTTGTGAGGGACGGGGGAAGACAAGAGCCCGGGCTAGGTTTGGGTGAGGACAGAGGCTGGGGAAGCAGCGATCACCGCCGCAGGGGAAGAGTCAGATGCAAACACTGTCGCAGTCCTGAAGTCCGTCCCTGGCGCGGAATCTCAAAACGCGGAAGTCACCAGCAGATGGCTCACCCATTCCCAGAGCCTACTGGGGGAAAAGCTTGGGTTCAGTGACACGGGAAATCAGAGCACCTTGCGAAGCTTTCTACAAACACACGCATTTTTTTTTCGTTCTCCCTTCGCAAAGCCCGCACTGCACGTCTCTCGGAGTCATTTGTGATTCTTACTGTTTGTATAATTACCACTTGCCCCGAATTAGAAATAAAAACACCAGGTCGGGGAGCGGCTTAAAGCCTAGGGGCGGAGATCTTGACACCAACTTTACACCTGAGTGAAAGGTCGCTAGAGACAGGCAGGAATCGCGGGGAAAATGGCGACTAATGGAGACATCGCTTCGCTAATGTCCAATGTGGATGGTAACTAAAGCAGCTGGGGGGTGGCCACACGTCCATCTGCCCATTGCTTCAGCAGGAGGCGAAGGAAGAAAAAGGCAGACAAAGTACAGAGCGACATGTCAGCCTCGGAACTTTACAGCAAGGTGAGTGTTGGGGAGATTGTAACCATTTTAAATGTGTCCATCTCCTGGATACCACTTTCATTCCAAAAAAAGTGTGTTAAAGTCGACAGCGCGCTGCAGCACCAAGTCCCATGATAATACTAATGAGGAGGAAAACCCCTATCGCAGTCCTATCCTCGTTTCTTTTAAATGTTTCATTTTAAAAATCAGTTTCTCCACCTTCCGTTCGCCCGTGTTGATTCGGAAGCTCCAGTAAACCTTTAATTTCCCGCTGCCGTTGAGACAAGGTTGCGCGATAGATAAAGTTTGAAGTAATTTTCATTGTGGCAAACAATCCTTGTTTGTTTAGTTTTCTTTTTCAAAAGTAAACATTTAATGCTATCTCCTTGAAGCGGGTAGTGCGGAGCAGGTGTTTAATGGTGCAGGTTGTGTGTGAGAGGTTGGGATCGTCTGTAGTTTTAGGAACATCGGTAACAGGCATAAAAATATCTGCACAGGTTTGAATAGTTTCTTTAAAAATGCAGTTCTACCTCCTGCAGTTGCACGGTTTCAAGTTTTGCTGTTTGTCTCTTGATCCGGAAAGGCGAGAGGAAATCAATTTTAAAAAAAAACAGAAATTGCTGGAGAAACTCGGCAGGTTTGGCAGCATCTGTGGGGAGAAACGATTTAACTTGTCGAGTGCAGGGAAGTTGAACGTTTCTCTCCACAGATGCTGTCAGACCTGAGTTTCTCCAGCAATATCTGTTTTTGTTTGCTTCAGATCTCCGGTATCCGCAGTTCCTTGAATTTAAAAAAAAAAATGGATTTATAAAAATGCTGAAAGCCCCTTTAATGCAAATTTGATTCAATGGAATGAATACTTCACAAATCTGGACGCAGTGAGAATGTCTCTTCCTTAGTTCTACGCGATCCGGGAACCGTTTCGTTTCCTTAAAAATCTTTTTATTGGTGACACTAAAGAACACTGCCTGGATACTTTTTTAAATAAAACTTTTATCTTGCTAGTAAAATCCCAGTCTGACTGCAGTTATTGGGATATCTCTTTCGATGGGAAATGGGAGCGCCGTGGTAAATATCATTGGACAACTAAGATTTTGGAGATTTGCTATAAAATTCCACAAAGACTCCAGAAGAAATTTAAATTAGCTTTACTTAAAATCTGGAATTTTATGAAAAAATTAGTCGTGGCGATTATGATATAACCACATTAGTAATGCTTTGGTTTCTTTTTTTAATGTCCAAGTGTCAGGAATTCTGGTGACTTTACCTAGTTTGACCTACATGTGATTCACATGTGCTTATCCCTGAATTACCCCCAGAAGTGACCTTAACTGGTGATTTGTTGCATCAAGCTTACAGAAAAGTCAGATAAGAACAAAATGGGGCAGTTTACACACCATCGAGCTAAAACAATGGATACACCCTGTCCATTTAAGCATGGAAAGCGGTTCTCAGTAACATCTGCAGATTTGTGCTCATACAGTGGCTGTTCCACCCTGCTGTTTTCCCAGAAGTCTCCATTACCGTTCCTGGTTAGGTCCTATGCTAACAGACTAACCAGAGGTGACAGCACAATGATATAAAGTTGCCATAGTCCTACCGGACCATAGGGCTATTCTCTCATTAGAGAGAAGCAACTGATAATTTAACCTGAGGGTCACTACTCAAGTGATGGGCGAGACTGAAAAGGAGAGTCCTTGATGGTAACCAAAGTTGGTGCAGGAATTGAACCTGCACTGTTGCCATCATTTTGCAAATCAGCTGTCCGCAATGATATGAAGTAAAAGTAAAGTCATCATTCCCAGAGGAATGTACAGTGATATGAAGTGGCTCTGGGGTGACCTTAATATTGATTGCAGAACTCATGGCATCTTGCAATTCAAGTGAACAATATGAAAGTGAACCTCTGACTGATTCATCATTTGAAATGAAGCAGGAGATGATAATCAGTCCTCCTCTATGTTGAACCCTGCTTTGAAAAGATGTAGAATGTACTGTTTATAGAGGATGTCAATATCAACCAAGAAGAGTGGTTTACTAACAGCACTACTGACTGAGTCTTGAAGAGCATATCTGCCAGACTGGACCTACAAGAGATAATGAGAAAATCAACTGATGCATCTTTCCCATGGAAGTACTTGTTGTGACCCTTTTATAGTGATGGCCCCATCTTCAAATTGAAAATACCCTGCAATGTGTGGTATGACACTACCACCGTTCTAAATGGGGTAGGCTCAGAATATTTGAGGAAATCCAGCACCGGATTCTCTGCGTGAGCTCCACTTTCTACAAACAATGGCAGTGAGTGTTTGACAACAGAGATCTCTGTTGTCAACAAAAAACCTAGTGTCCAGACCAGTGTTGTCAGCACACTCCTGAATTGAAGTGATATCTGAACTCTGCATAAATAATATGTAAGAAGCTAGCGAAATTCCACCAGCAACGCCTCTACTGCTTTCTCTGAATTTAATGGGAGGACCTTCATTCAGGCAAAACTCCTGTGAAATCAACTATGAATGGCTGAATGCTGTGTCTGCATGATGAAGGATTATCTTTTTCCACCTTCTGGCCCTATTCTTGCCATTCTGAAATGGCTAGCCTTGGGAAGAGCAAAGAACATGCTAGAAAGACTCACTGAAGTTTGGAAACATTAACTTTGATTGGGAAGAGCTTGTTGTCAATCATTTGAAATGGCAATAATCTGTCTGTCATGTTGTACCATGCTTAGACTCATTTTATTGATGAGGCAGTACAGTAGCAGAGACGGAAAGAAAACATTCTATACATTCTGTTAGAGATAGTAGGAACTGCAGATGCTGGAGA